TTTTTTTTTTTTCAGATTCGTTTTTCTAAAAAAAAATATATATATATATATAATCGTAAAATTCGTAGAATCCGTTACATCTATATATTCGCTATACACGCGCTTCGTGTCACACGTTGGACATAATCTTAAGTGAAACCATTCGCGAGATTATTCATTAGCCAAGTTATGAGTGCCTCTCAGAGTATCTCTCCCTCCCTCCTCCGTTTCCCATAAACAATTCGAAGCTAGATCTCATCCCAGATTCTCCTTAACTTAACAGCCTCTTGCACCTTTTTTGCACCTCGAGGTATCCATAAACTACTCGAAACTTTCCAATTTAGATTCGAGGCTGGTTGCAATATCCCATCGCTAGTCCTAGACGATTTCTACGTAGGCCCAACTGCGAGTGCAGCGCAGAGAGAGGAGGGGGGGGGGGGGAAAAAAAAGAACCTCAAGAATTCCGCTCTCCCCCGGCACGAGAACGATTCTCTCCTCCGACGAGAATCGCCGATAGGCCGCACTGCTTTTCAACGAACTCGTTTTTCTGCCGGCTACCGGCGACCAACCATGGAGCGGATGGAGCATTGGCCAGGCGTGTCGCGTTGGCCGCCGGGCATACCTTCCTTCGAGAAAGGAAGACAGAAGGGCCCGGGGAGAAAGTGGACGAGGAAAGACAAGAAGCGGTCAGAGAAGAAGGGTGGCACCGTTTCCAGGTGGCACTCATATACAAATTATGGTAATGATTCGATCGATTCCCTCTTCCTCTCTCTTCTTCCCCTTCGTCGACGGGACCTTCGAGAGACGAAACGCGCCCCTTTCGACCTTTCGTCCAATTGCTCGTGCAACGCCAGATACATCTTTTTGTTATTTTGATCCGTTCTGCAACGGGGAAAGCGCGAACACCTTTGTGAAATGGATCACGGCTACTCGAGGCTCCCCTCTCTTAGAGGGGGGGAGATTTCGCAGGGAAGCGAGGATTTGTCTTCAAATCCGTAGAAACTTTTTTTTAATCAACACGACGAGAAATAATATTTCAAGAAAATACGATTCGTATTTCTCGTATATAATTCAACTAATTATACAAATCGTACATAATTTGTCCATATTTTTACATACATAAACATCTATTCTAAATAACCATTAAGACGCAACGTAGGAAAAGGTTAAAAACGAACAACCTTGCTCTCTCGTTACCTTATAATAAGACATTTTATAACCTAATAATCAAATTTCTCGTTAAAAATGCGAGAGATCTCGGAGATATATACGTACATACATATATATATATATATAATCCATCGCGATAACCATCTCTTGCTATCAGCGTACGTAAGTAAACATCGGCAGATGCGATAAATATTCAAAGAGGATTTCACGTTTGAATTCGTGACCGAGGAGAGGAGTCGCGAATTGTCCGAAGCCGAGCCGCGGGCGATCTTTGATATTTTAATCCGTCGCTCCCTCGAGTTCTGGAACCCGTGGCGCGTTTCTTAAACGCGATACGACATTTGGACGTGCCGCGCCATCTTATTTTATCTCGATGGAGGATTTCGCGCGTTCAAAAGGTTTGACGCAGATAACCGGCACAATGTAACGGATCGAAAGATGGATTCGAAATTCGTTTCGACGAAGATCGGCAGATGATATTTGATTTTTGCGTGAAAAGACGACGTATCGATTTCATTTCGTCGATAATATATTTGTAATTTGTAATTTATTTTTCTCTGTGTCGCGAGGCTCGAAGTCGTTGTATTTTCAATTTGCAAATAAAAAGGAAAAGAGCATATGGAATTCGATGAAAGATGTTAAGGTAAAGGTTGCGTGATAATTTTTCTATGGTCGTGATTTTTTTCAACCTGTAATTTTATTAATATAAAGATACTGGATAAGTAAAATTTCAATCAAAGTTTTTAACACTTTATCAATTCTTTTTGAAAAGTAAAAAGAAAGTGACAAATAAAATATTTATATTTGAATTACGAACGATTCAATGTTTGCATTAATTTATATTAATAATCATCTTGTATATTTAGCTCTTATAAAGTCGCTTTATTATCTATCTATTCGATTGATTTATATAACGTGATGCGACCCTCCAACATAAAGTATCGAGCAATTTAAATTTCGCGCGTGAAACAGTTCCGTGTATATTTCGAATAAAGATCGAGATATCGAAGGTCGGTTATCTCGTTGCCTCGATATTCATGGAACAATGTACTTATTTGTCCCAGCTTAATTCAGCAGTTTGCTCGCACGAGTTCACTGCGATGCAAAGCCTCATGAATATTTATTATACCGTGAAGTTGAATCGAGTAAACTGTGGATACCGATTAGAAATCGGGGAGAATTTTTGATCACGTGAATGAGAAAACGCAAGTCGAGCAAGTGTCCCTCGACTTTTTAATTTCTCTTTCATCATTTTTCGTTTAAACGGGCAACCGAAATTTGCATAATTCGATAAGCGGGACGGTTGTTGAATTTGAGGCGTGCGAGATTAAAGTGCGTTCGATTAAAGTGCGAGGAGATGGAAAATTATATTTTGTAATTTTTGTTACGCGCGTGTGATTATTTCAACTGGATAATTAGGTGGTGAGACGTCGGTTTTAACAGGTTACGCGACGCGGCTGTCAACTTCTCGGAGAGGAATGACTATTATTTCGTGTTTGTTATCGTAATCATGTCATTACGGACAGAGCAGAAAAAGAAGAGAAAAATTAACATATTTATTTACGCGTGAGAACATCACAATTTTCGTTTCGTTCGTTCAATTATAATAAAACGCTTGAATCTCTCTGGAAAATTGGAGCATCTTTTCAACAATCGTTTTTAATCTAATATACTTTAATACTTTTAATTAATTAAAAAATTAAAATTAAATCGATCGAACTGATATGATGCGTTTATCATTTAATATCTAATAAAATATAAAAATATAAATTAAAATAAAGAAACGAACACATTCCATTTTATCATATTAAATTTTTTTTCTAATCTCTGTCCAGCAATATCTTGATCTAATCGCTATAAAAAAAACAATTATACATTCCATACCAATTTTATCTCCGCTTATACGATCTGCTCGAGCAAATTTAAAAATATAAATTCAACATTAATTGAGCAAAAAGTCGATATTCTACCGATAAATAACATCCTTGACATCCTGTTCTACGACAGCTCAATTTATCAATCAAAGATCGGGTTTAAATATCCCGCCATTTTATCTCTCTACCTTCTACGATGGAATCAGGATATGAAACAGATAGGAAAATTTTCACCTGAGACCACTCACTTCGTTATGAGAGTCGATATCGGTGAGAGAGGAAAAAAAAGAAAAAATCGAGGGAAAAAAAATCGCACGTGCCTCGATCGGTCCGCCAGGTTTATCGCGTGAAATTACGCGTCGCACGTGCGCTCGAATGGCCAATAGTGAAAAGGTCGCGTTGAGCCGGCGATGACTAAGAAATGGGAAAAAAGTCTCGAGCGCGGATGATTTCGAAATGTTTTGCGGCCGAGTGATAAAAATCGTTGATATACTGGCCAGAAGACCTTTGAAAAACGAGAGATACCGTGTGTAACGTATGCCTGGATCGTGATATCGATTAAAATACCATTTCATTACCGATAATTGATTTAATTGATCTTCTTAATTTTTTTCAATCGTTTGATCGGTGAATCCTGTTGCTATTAGATTGCATATTGATTAAATTTCATGAATTTGTATTAAATTTAATGGGCGGTTTAATTTAGAATCAAAGATACGAGAAGATCAGTTGAAATATCGTTTGAGGAAAATATTCTTAATTAATGAATTCTGGATTAAAGTAATTTATAATTGCGCGAGAGAGAGTTGTTTTTGAATGATATTTCGACGATATTTTCATTTATATTTATATCTGATATATTTAAATTATAATATATTTGAACCTAACAATTTTAATTATGTCTATCAGTTAACGAACAATTCTATTTTAAATGAAATATTGACACGCCTCGTATTATTACAATGATCATTTGCATCACGTCGATCTCAAAAATAAATTAATTTGCCGAAAAAATATGTCCAACAATCCAATATTTCTCGACCATTAATACGTCTCGATAATTCTTTCGAAGATGTCATAAATTAAATTATTCTTGGCAAACGAAAAATCGCGCAAAACAAATGTTCCCCAGCACGCGATTGCAAATCATCAGATCGATTATCACGGTGCGTGCAACCGAACGACAAACAAGGGGTTTCGTGCCGGCCAATGGTAGACGGTATCGTACTATAATCTGTTCCACGTTGTCAATATTTAACAGAGGTCCGCAGATTTATCTGCGCAGGCTGCCACGCTCACTACACTTCACAATCGTACGAAACGACGCGATCGTTTCTTATTCATTCTTTTCTCCGTTTTTTTTTTTATTTTTCATCTTTCTCTTTTTTTCTTTTCTCTTTTATTTCTGAAACTATATTTTTCTCGCAATGGAGAACCGTGCTAAAAGGATACCAACGCAAATGGATAAGGACGAGCGTACCGGTTATCAGATGACGAGAGGACAAAAAATGCACGTGATGTAATGCAATTGGTAAGCAGATTGTATTGAACGTATATACGCGCATATAGATTGATACGGCGATAACGCGAACGTTGGTAGCGAGGAGAAGGCCATTAAAGAAACAAATAGCGAAGGGTGTGCTTGGAATGAAGGAAGAGGCGTGTAAAATGGGCCGGGACAGGTAAATCGTACAAAGAAAATAGATAACATACCGCGAGAGATGTTTTCGAGTAACCTTTCCATTTCTTTTTTTCTCTTTTTTGTATGATCAATCGTTGAATCGTAGCGCCAAATGTTATTGGAACCTTTCGTTGCTTAACAAAATTCCTCCGTCGACTCTTCTTTTCGTCTTGGAATCGTAAAAAATGTAGAAAGAAAGAAGGTAGAACAACTTAACCTGAAAAAGAGAAACATCGAATTAGCAAATCGACAATTGAAAACATTGAAATAATAAAAATTAGAATAAACCATAGAATTGTTACCTACAGGTGCAAAACGGTTTCTGAATGGGCCGAAGACACACATTTCTAATCTTCTGTCCAATAATTCTCACAAAAACAAAACAATTATCCTCTCTTAATAACCGTTCAACGTTGGATCCCCGAGGTGAAGTAAAATGGTGCACGCGCAAGCGCGGGACACGATAATTGCGCATGCGTAGTCGGTCATCGCGCGGGAACGTTTAATTGGACGCATAAACGAGCGCACAGAGCGTTCTCCCCAACGCATAACGTCCAGGACAATGATCGTTTTCCCCTGAGGACATTCTACGTTTAATGTTCGGCACGATCCATAGCCGTTCATGGATCGTAAGCGAGCCGCAATAATCGTCGCCATTCCGCGAACAGATTCGCCTTAATGACACTGTGATCTGCTGGCATGCGATAATTAAGCCAACGCGTTCATCTCTTCGCTTCTCCTTCCCGATACAATGAAATAATCGTTCTATCGTTCGGATAGGGATATAAACGTGAATCAATTATATGGTGAAAGGGAAGAATAATTTGTTCCTTGCTATTAAATAAAATTTAAAGTTTCAATATTATCTTTCTTTCATCATCAACGAAAATGATACATACCGATAATATGCGTGGAACGTTTTTACGTACGCGTTAAAAAGAAATTATCCATTTCTCCGATCATTCCCGTATCGCGACAATAATCAACGCTAATGACATCAATGCATCGATCACGATATTCAAAATAATAAAAATTCCCCCGAAAACCGATAAGCTTTCAATAAGTAGATTATAATCGGCGTATTTCGTATCGAGCACAACCGGGACAATCTAAATTTTTCCCCCGAAACGAAAATCGATAACATTCCAACATTAACCAACGAACCGTACCAGCTTCCGCGCCGTGGAAAACGCTGACGTCAATTTAATAACCACCGTCTAAAAACTCGATCTCGGGTGTCGTGCGCCAGATTTATGGCCACGATCGATAAATTAGCAGTTGCGGCAATTTCGATCGCCTGAATATCTATTTTCGTTACGGTCCTAAATCACCACGGTAGCGAGGTAGCGAGATACATTGAATAATTCGATATCATCGTCGATACGTGGGTGAAATTTATCTCGCGTTCGTTCGGCCGCCGCTTACGTATACCGTGCGTGTGTATAAGCACGAAAACTTGGAGCTATCACCGATAACACGGTAACGGTGAAGTAGGTGGAACGTAATTACGCAATATTTATATGGCATCGTTCTTGGATACTCGGTAGAAGCGGCACGAAGTAATTTCGTGTTTTACTATTAATT